TCGTCCTTGTCGTTGTCTCCATCGCCAGCCGCCTTCTTCCCCGGCATCGCTGCTGGGGAGCCCGAGCTTGGCGTAGTAACGTCAGAGCATGGTGCATTCTTCGAGGGTATGCTTCACCGGGCCATGGTGGTAAGGACATGGCTTCTTAAGCATATCATTGAATACTCCGGGGCCCCTACCGAGGCCTCGGGGATTCTTGCGATCCGCGGCTACGATGAAATCGGCCTCGAGGGCCTCCTCGCTTCCTAGGTGTCCTTTTTCTTTTTCTTGGGGAAACGGAAGCCGAGGCCCCGGGGCCTTGTCCTCCGCTTCCCCTTTTTGTGTCGCCTTTCGGGAAGATGGCCTCGACGGCCTCTTCACCCGAGGCGGTTGGTGGCGATGTCGAGGAGCACGGCCACGAGGTTGGTACGCTCTGGGCTAACTATCGCACCAGTCTCGATAGGAGGTGCCAAGAGGAAAGCTCGGACAACTTCCGAAGTCACCGACGCCAAGGCAACTCAAGACATCGCTTGGAGAATCACCGGATGAAGTCTCGAGAGACTCGCTCGGCTTTTAGCGACAACTCTTGAGGTCCCAGAGTTCTGGGCGCACGATGTGCCCTGAAATTCCCGATGAAGATCTTTACCAAGTCGCGCCAGGCCAGGATCTGCAAGGGAGGGAGGTGTTCGAGCTAGGCTCGCACCGAGTCTATCGTGAATAGAGGAGAGGTTGCGGATGATGAGCAGTCATCGTCACGCCGCCTAACCGACAAGCCAGCGGTAATTTGCCACCCACAACTGGGGTTGGTCTCGCCACGATTTTGCGAGGGTTGGCCGCTTCTCTGTCAAACCGAAGGGAATGGGGCGCCATGGATGGCCTTTGCTGAAGACTCGAGGGCCAGTGGCCCAGAGAAGGACTGTGGTCCTCGCCATCGTCAGTAACGGCCGCCTCGGTGCGGGTGGTAGCCTCAGCGGCCCATCATCGTTGTGGCGTCGTCCGCCGCCGACCGCATCGTGGTCGCCTCGACGCCGCATCGATCGGCCGAGGCGGTTGTGAACCGAGGGGGGCCTTGAGGCGATCGTGCACCGAGGGCCGCTTTCGAGGTGTCCTCACACCGCCGAGACGCGGAGCTTTCGCCTCGCCAGACGCGGGCGGTCTCGAGAAGGTCTCGGAGCTCGCCGTGGAACCGCCGCCCTCCGTGGTAGAGGGCTCGCATCATCCTTCCGGACTAGCATTGCCGCCGCTGGCGATGTTCGCTAGCGCGATTGAAGATTGGGGTTGCTCACCCCTTCGCCGTTTTGATGCGCGGCGGTGGACGCCGTGGGCCCTCCACTGTGCCCTTCCGCCATCACCGCGACATTGCCGCTCTTGCTCGAGAGTGTCTCGAAGCTGCTGCAGCAGGAGTCGGTCTTGGTTGACCTTTGCCTGGAGCTCACGGAGCTGCTCCAGGTCAAGGGGTCGGAGTTCCTCGGGGGCGGCGTTCATGTTCCGTGCCGCCCGAAGCTCGACGAGCGGGGGTGTGGCGTCGCTCGCCCCTTGGCGGAGCGGGGAGCGGTTGCCGGCCCCTTCATTCTCATTACTTGCCCCTAGCATTCCGAGCCTGATGTGGAAGCACTCTCGAGTGGGATCGTAAGTGCCTTCGTCATCGGTGTCGGAGTAGCCAAAGCAGTAGTCGCTTGAGGCCAAAAAACGGTGCATAGCCTCAGGGTCGCGAAGCCCAGAGAAGTCTACTCCGGCCCACGCCTCGTCCTCCTCTGAGTAGTCGGTGTGGGTGTGAGCCGAGGTTGTGGTGGAGAAGTCGAGGGCGAATCGTCGGTGGCGTCCCGAGGGCTCAGCGTGCGCGGTAGCGTAGGCGGGGACGGCATTTCTCAACCCGAAGGGGTATGGAGACGGTGCCATCGCCGGGCCCTGCTCCACCGGAGTTGGCTCCTCAGGCGGTGGCGGTGAGTAACTTGACGACGGGCGTCGCCGCGACGTCCACCGGTGTCTTTCCCCGCCAAGCTTAGGCTAGACAGTCCCCAACCAGGGACCTCGTACCAACAAATGGGCATGGGATACCGGCAGAGCGCGGCGCGTCGCCCTAAGGTCGTCTTGGTGTCGGGTGGTCTCGCCAAGCGCCGTGCCTAGCGAAGCGATTAGCAATGGCCGGGCCGCCGCGCCTCGCCGCTGGGCATGTGCGCGACGCCATCGCCGGCCAAAGGGGCTCGGGTAGGAGGAGTACTAGGTCGACTCACGCCCTAGAGTTATGAACTCTAGGCTCCCGAACCAGATCACCATGCCGAGACGTAGGGGGCGATGTGATCTACCATCCGAACTTGTTGGGACGATCAAGCTAACAGTGCAGAGGCTCCTACCTGGCGCGCGTCAATCGCGGTGTTTCGACCGGGGTCCTCAACCAACCAAGAATTTGAACTGCGTGCCCCTATCCTGGATGGTGATGCAAAGAGACACAATGTTTATACTCGGTTCGTATAATCGGTGCCCTACGATAGTCCGAGAGATCGATCTTGTATTCCTTGCACCGAGGTGCTTGTAGTAGGGGTTACAAGTCAGGTGAGAGAGGAGCTAGTCCTGTGTCTCGGCGTGGAGCGGTCGGGCTGCCCGAGGCGTTGTTCTCAGCAATGGGGAGCGTGTGTTACAGAGTGTCGCTTGCACGTGTGTGAGAGCGTGGTTCTTTCAGATGTTTTCTTGCCTCTCTTAGAGCTATCCTCGGCTCGCTTCCTTTTATAGCCGCAAGGAGGGAGCCAGAGTATATGAGTGAGCTACATGTGGAGCCCATCAGAAGTTCACCCTCAGAAAGCAAAGATAGTGTTTGGGAATGGCGATCGGTACTTGATCAAGGTGCTGTGGCCGGCTAAGCCAAAGTTGTTGAGGTCATGGGAGTCCTTGTTGATGTCTAGTCAGTATGGCCTCCACTGTAGGAGACATATCGTGCCTTGTGGATTCTTGACTTGGTGGAGTGCCGAGGCCTAGCGGGTGCTGTAGCTGATCATGCCGAGGCCTGCTTTGCCGAGGCCTCGGAGGTGACCCGTGTATGATGCGGGGGTCTTGGTGGTCACCGCCATTGCACCCGGTTTTAGGTGGAAAAGTGAGAGCGTGTCCCACACGCACACGGTAACCCCTCGCGCCGTCGTAGGGGGGATGGTAAAAGGAGATTTGACCATCGGCCCCATCGCCTCTGTTGTCAGCACCACTGCCACCATGGTCGACGAGTAGGTGTGACCAGCGCACTTAAACGGATGGGGCGGCTCGCCAAAGGGACGGTTGAGGCGGAGGCGACGAGGATGCGGGATGAGCCCGGCCTCGGTCGAGGCGGAGAAGGAATAGTACGTCCGAGGCCCTGTCGGGGGGTCTCGGACGAGGCGGAGGACGAGCAATTGGTCTTTTGTGCTGATTCCGAGACTACAGGGACCCGGACTTGACCCTCCACGCCGCTTTGTCCTTGGCGCAGGAGTTGGTAGCATTGCAGCGAGACGGTGTCGTCGTAGGGGCATGTTGATGAGCACAAAGGCGGTAACCCCGCCGCGCCTTTGGCCCCTCGTCCCGTCGGTCACTCGCTCAGCATTTCACGCCAACGTCGGCGGTGACGCTATGGGAGTAGTTGGCGCATTAACTGGACGTGACGTTTTGTCAAGGGAGTCGGTCGGGACGGAGGTGACGAGGTTGTTGCCGAGCATAGCCTCAGGCGAATCGAAGAATTGGTATCCCGTCCGAGGCCTTGCGGGGCGGGGCCTCGGCGGGGCGGAGAGTTTTGGCCTTTCGTCTGAGGCCTCGGCGCAAGACTCGGGCGAATCGAAGAATCGGCCGAGACCTCGTGGTTGTCCTTTGGCTTTGATTTTTGCAAGGTTTAAGCAATATTTTCGGTTCTTGCTAAGGGTATCCCTTCTTGTGGTATCCGACAGGATGAATTGAACCGCCTAGAATTACTTTGAACCGGTGCAATATAATAATATATAATAATAGATAATTAGTAACATATAGTTGATCACGTATACAAATAAGTTGATAAAAAACACAATTATATAACCTGCTTCTCACTAATTGGTGCTCTAGATTTGATTCACAACATATAAAAAATGTGTATGAAAACATATAATATAATTTGTACAAAAATGACTAGAATAGTAATTTAAATATTCGTTGTTGCAAAATAATCTCGAAAGGTAAAATAAAGTGCACAATTGCGAAGAACTCGTTAAGATAATCGAAATAGATATATTATTTATCTTATTTAGAGCTCATTTGAAAAAGTTACGAAGTTATGCAGTTTAAAAGTCAACCGAGCCTGGAGCAGTGCACCACGCATGCAACATTCAAATTCCAAAGCAGCAGCCCAGCGGGCCCAGCGGTGGCAGGCGCACGCACTCGGCACTCCACGTCTCCACACGGCACCAGCTAGGACCACGCTGTAGCAGCAAACACGTACGCTATCAGCACGGACCTGGACGGTTCATATGGAACCGGCCGGTTCACCGGTTCCAAAAACCGGCCGGTTCAACCGGTTTTTATCGGTTTAATTACATAGGCGGTCTTTCAAGTGAATCCAACCAGTCTAATTCTGGTTCAGTCTTTTAGCGGTCAAACCGTCGGCGGTCCTAATAACGAGTGGAGGCGTCGGACAGGCACGAAAACGGTGAGCGCAGCGCTGCTAGGTGCTAGCGGATAGGCGATCTCTTACCAATGGCAGGACCCACACCATCAGTGACTCAGGAGGCGAGGCGCGCGTGGGGGTAACGCGAGCTCGGCCGCTCGCCCACCCGGGGGAAGGGGCCACGTCACGTCACGCCGCTCGCGCTCCGCGTCGGTTATAGCCTGGCGACTCCTTTTCGCACCTGGCTCCTCCCCCACCTGCCCGCCTCTCGCTCCGAAGCTTCTCTCCTCTCGCGTCTCGTACCAGGTGGGAGGGAGACGGGAGACCCAGGGAGCGGAGGCGTGCGAAGGTCGCTTCGCGCGCGCGTGCTGCGGCCTGCGGGGCGCGGGAGATCGGGGCCTGAGCTAGGGTCTGGGACTGGGAAGCGGAGATGTCGACGCCGGCGAGGAAGCGCCTGATGCGGGACTTCAAGCGGCTGCAGCAGGACCCGCCCGCCGGCATCAGCGGCGCGCCGCACGACAACAACATCATGCTCTGGAACGCCGTCATCTTCGGGTAATCAGGCCGCCTATTTATGTGCTGTTAGGTTTGCTAGCCTAAGGATCTAGTGAGGTGTGAGGCCGCGATACGTTTGGTGGATTTTGGTGCTGACTGTGCTTTTGCTCTTGTTGTTTGTTGCGATTCTGCAGGCCGGATGACACGCCGTGGGATGGAGGTGAGACCATCCGATTTAGGTTGCCTCGATCTGTAATTGCTCAATAGCTGTTGTCTGCACTTTGAGTACTGCCAATTTCGTTAGTTGGCGATTGGTTGACTGAAATACTGAATTCTACCTTATGCCGATTGTTCAATAATTGTGCGTGATAGGTCCCATATTTCCCGTTTGATTTGGCATCTTGAAGCATAGATGCAAACAAATGTAAACAAACCGCGGTCTGCGGATGTTAACCCCTATGGGCTTAAGAACAGGCTGCCTACTTAGGTTCCGTGCTTAGTTTGCATGCTTTCCTGATGTAGGAATCTTGCGGTTGTGTCATCTCTTACGTGTTGTTTGCCAAAAAAGTAAAGAGCGTGATCTGTAACACCTTTTTTTTTGTTCTTTAATGCCAACGGTCGTCACAAACTATCAAAGGGATGGCATGTCTGATTGACATGAAAGTTATTAATAGTCAAACTTTGAGTATGTGCGTTTTGGCCAAGCATATTGCTACATCTCTGTCTTTCTTATACAGCCAATAAAAGAACAAGCAACATAGCACTTGGGAAGTTGGAATTGTAAATTGAGTTACCGAGGCACTCCCCCTGGTTCCATAAGTCTTGTCGTTTTCGACATCAACATGGTCTTCAATAATTGCGTGCAATAGGTGCCATATTTCTCGTTTGATTTGGAACCTCACAAATAAATGGAAACGAGCTATGAATGTTTACCCCTACGAGCTTATAGCAAGCTGCCTATTTAGGAACCGTGCATTTATTTGCATACTTTTCTGATATAGGAATCTTACAGTTGTGTCATCTCTTGTATACGGACTTGATCTGTAACACCTTTATTTTGTTCTTTAAATGCTTATGGTTGTCACAAGCTACCAAAGGGAAGCATGTCTGATTGGCATATTATTTAGTCAACTCTGGGTATGTGCATTTTAGCCAAGCATATTGGTGCATCTCTGTCCTTAATTATACATCAATAAAAGATCAAGCATTATAGCGTTTGGGAAGTTGGGGTTGTATGAGCTCCTCCACCTGGTTCCATAGTTCCTGTCGTTTTGGACAACGACACAGTCTTCAATAATTGAGTGTGATAGCATGCAGACAAATGTAAATGAACTACAACTATTTACCCTTCAAGCTGCCTACTTAGGGTCCGTGCTTTGTTTGCATGCTTTCCTGATGTTGGAATTTTACAGTCGCGTCATCTCTTATGTACCATTTACCAAAAAGTAAGGAGCTTGATCTGTGATGGTTTGTGTTTCCTTCTTTAATGGTAAGGGTTGTCGCAAGCTGCTAAAGGAAAGGGTGTCTGATTGGCATGAAAATTATCTAATCAACTGCGGATATGTACATTTTGGCCAAGTGGTACAACTTGTGTCCTTCATTATACAGCCAATAAAAGAACAGGCATCGTAGTACTTGGGATTATGTAAGTCTGTCGGCTGTCCTTCATTATATAGCCAATAACAGAGCAAGGTTATAGAACTTGGGATTGTAAATTGAATCTCTGAGATATTGACTGCCACAGTAGCTAATGAGGACAGCCTACATCCTGCAGCCCTGCACCTACTGTAAATCATTACTAGCTAGTCAATAGCCATGGGCCATGGCTTCAATTATTCAGTACCACTGTACCAGGTTGTTTCACATTGGTACTGTATTGGCACGAATGTGTTAACCTCTATTTGGTTGATTCAGCTCATTAGAATTATGTGATATCACAATGCAAGCACCGTCAGTGTAGAAGTTAGAGAAACCATTTGTGATTGATAAATACACAACTATCATTTGCCAGGAAAATAAAAGCACCTATGTGATTCACGAGAGCATGGGACCCTTCCCAGTGGAAGTGTATTGGTACTAAAAAACATCTGTTGACAGAAAAATACCGACCTTCCGTCGCCTGAAGGACTAAAACTCCGCTTTTCTTATGTGATTTGGATTGTTGTTTTTTTACTACATCTTTCAGCATATTCCTTCCATTGTACATATACTTTATTTTGGTTTGTTAATGCCACAATCGACTAGCTTAGTTCAATCATTTATTTTGGGCTTTTCTATGATATCGGTGAACATCAATCATAATGTAGTTTGTAGTGTGCTAGAACAGTAGACATGGTTCACCTCGTGTCTTGTATTGGCAGCAGAACGAACTGGCTGCTTTCTGATTTTAACTGTCAGTTCGCTAACGTATGTCAAGTCTACACTTGCAGGCACGTTCAAGCTGACTCTGCAAATTACAGAAGATTACCCCAACAAACCTCCAACTGTTCGGTTTGTTTCGAGGATGTTTCACCCAAACAGTATGTTCTCTTTAGATGTTAAGGAACTAAATTATCCTCATATATTGACACCTGAATACATTGACAATAAGTGGTTTAATACCATTTTTTTTCAGTCTATGCGGATGGAAGCATCTGTTTGGACATCCTACAAAACCAGTGGAGCCCTATATATGATGTTGCGGCAATATTGACCTCCATTCAGGTATTGCTCATTTTGTCACTCAACCTATCATGTTGAAATAACCCCATTTTGTTCTATCACTGCCTGTGTATTGTATTGCTCTAATGGATTATTGTGTCCAGTAGAAAGCTCATGCGATTGGTCCCACCTAACTGAATTGACATTGTTATAATTTCAATTGCCATATGGTTTTGGAATAAATACTCCAGTTCCATACGAACAGTGAAAGAAAGAAAATGTTTTCCCCATTACCTGATGTCACTAGAAAAGGTTGGTCACAAGTTATCTACTCCCTCCATTCCGAATTGCTGACTTTTCTATGCACAATAGCTTTTGCTACACACCTAGATATACATCATGTCTAGATACATAGTAAAATATTACAATTTTGGAACGGAAGGAGTATATTTTATTGATTCTGTAATTGAAGTGGACCAGTATATGTCCACATGGGCAACATGCCTCCAATAAGTACCCAGCAATGTGACGTGCCAATGTCATGGTCTGTAGGGGAGGTCTAGGATCGCTCCTCGCCATCCTTGACGGTTCGAGACACTGTTTGTAACAAACTACATCCTTTCCTCTTAATGAAACACATGCTTTAAATTTGCGGAAAAAAGTACCCAGCAATGCAAATGCTTTCCATTGTTTGATCCTAGTATGGAAGTAGGACCTCCTATCCATTTTATGGTTGTTTTGTGAATTTATATTTATTTATATTGGTCACACCAGTTCCAAAAGGTAGTTTTGGGACATCGGTACTCAACATATTAAAATGATTTACTGATTTCTTGTTGCCTTTCCTTTGCAGTCCCTGCTGTGTGACCCAAACCCAAATTCTCCTGCTAACTCTGAAGCAGCCAGAATGTTCAGTGAGAACAAGCGTGAGTACAACCGCAAAGTCCGCGAGGTTGTGGAGCAGAGCTGGACAGCCGACTAAAACTTTATCCGCTTCGCCAGATGGTGCAAATAAGCACCTGCCTTTCCTGCTTCATCAGTCTGTATTATCGGCTTAAACCGTTAAAAATCCTCAGCTACTGTTGTGTTCTTGTGGTTCAGTCCCCTGTTGTACTGTTGCCTGCCGGTTTTCCTAATGTAGTTGTGAACGGTTTCATGAACTCCAATATTGGTGCTATTGTAAAAGATATATAGCTAAGCCAAGTTGATGCTAGGTTTGCAGAAACATCATATGCTTATTTCTCGCTGCACGAACGGCCTCTCGCGAGGTGCTCCTGTGGAGGCTGTTCGTCCTGTTTGTTCATGTTCCTAAACCCTAAATGGTGGCTCCAGCAGTAGTTACGCGGTGATCACAAAATTCAGAACGTAGAAGGCAATGCCTATTACATCATTATTGTGTTACCAATGGGGGGAAAATCGACAAAAGGCACACCATTATTGTACTCGTAGATAGGGATATGATGATAAAAGAAAAAGGAGCGAAAAAAGAACTCTACAGTGGCACAACGCACACTAGTCTGTGTGTGCACCACGGGGAGGGGAGAATTTTCAGTTGAGCGGATCCTGCTGGGGGCTTCAGCATCACGCTGTAGGCTGGCCAGCGTTTCCATCTTCAGATCATGCGACCGCTTTACTGGAGATTGGAGAAGCACCTGATCATCTGCTCAAGTGTAGCCGGGTCGACCTGGTGGCCCTGGACGATGACGACACTGGGCTTCCTCCGCTGCTGCTCCAGGCATCCACCTCCCAGTCGTCCTGCACCTGGGCGGCGAACTGCAGGTTCCATAGCACGTCCTCCACCGAGGGCCGCTGCGACGCCTCCTTGGCCAGGCACCTCTGGCAGATCTCCATGACCGTCCTCAGCGATTCGTCCGAGCACCCTTTGCTCACCACGGGGTCTGCGAAGCTCCTCCTCCTCACCCGGTCCTCGTCGGCAATCGCCCATGCCAGCTGCAAGTCGCATTGAGGGAGGCTCATTCAGTTGACTGACCCAGTGCAATGCCACTAGCTAAGTTTTACATTGTCAGGTACAGAGATAGTGATGGTACCAGTTCTTTCAGTATCTCCACTTCATACATGGATGTGATGGTCTTCCCAGACACAACCTCAAGTAAGATCACCCCGAAGTCGAAGATGTCTGCCTTATCGCTCTTCATCCGACTGTAAAAAGCAAACCATGTTGTGATTAGTCACATATCACACTGATTGAAACCGGCTGGACGGTAGTGTAAGACTGCCATTTTGAGAACTCCTACCTTTCAGTTTGGAACTTGTTTCCAGCTCCTCCCTGCTCGGATTTCATGGCCTCTGCTAGGATCGGGATGTTGTAGCTGCCGATCTTGGCGACATGGTTCTGGTCCAGAAGGATGTTCGTGATCCTCAGATCGTTTCCAACTAGGCCAGGTATGATCCCTCCGTGCAGGAACTGGATACCCTTGGCGACACCGATGGCAGCCGATATCCTCTGTGACCAGGTAAGCCTACACCCTTCAGTCCCCTCTGTTGAAAGAAATTCAGTTCAGAAAGCAACACATTAGTAACATTCAGTTCATTTCACTGTCAGAGCAGCAAGTGAAACGAAAGCGAGAGGAACCGGCAGCTTACGCGAGATCCTGCTCCTCAGGTTCCCATTCTGCACGTACTCGAACACGATGTACAGCTGGGTCACAGTGGACTCATCGAGATCGTACTCAAAGCAGTGTCCCAGAGCGCTGACCAAGTTCTGATGCCTGAGCCTGGAGATCGTCTCGATGTGACGGTTGATGCTCTGGGTAGTCCGGCTCCTCTTCATCTTCAGAGTCCTGATCGTCACTGGCGTGCCGTTGCCTAACCTTCCTCGGTACATCTGTCAGTAAAACAAGAGATGTTCATGTTACATGTGTGTGCTTCCATGGTGTTCCAAAAGAAAACTTTTTGAAAGATCTTCCAAAGAAAACTTAATAATCACGTATTCGCTTTAGGTAGCTGATGAACATGATTGCAGCAGGTGACGGTAAACTGCATGCATCAGATGTCCTAGTTCTGAGCTGACAGTGAATTGAGCAACCAAGAAGACGACACCATACCTCGCCGTGGGAGTCTTGTCCCAGCAGATGAGAGTTTTCAAAGTTATTGGTTGCAGCTTCAAGCTCGACCAAAGAGAACGATCTGTATGATGGGATCCCCAGGGCTCCCAGCTTCACTGTCTGTGATATGTATCCTTTTTTGTTTCAAATTACCAGAGAAAAACTGAAGTTATTAGCGACTGCAGCATCAAAATGAAATGCCAAAGAAGCAATTTTAATTTGTGCACAAGAACTCGAGAGCATACGTGCATCGGCGAGCAACTTGGAAGGGTAGCCAGTCGAAGAACTTTCTTCCTCCGAAACTGTGGGAGCCCTCGCCTCCGAACCTTTCATGGCTGCCCTCCTCACAGCGAAGAAGACGATGAGACCCACAGCCGAAATGGCGACAAGGATCGCCATCACAATGCCGGCCACGAAGCCTGCCTGGCTTGCGATCTTCTTCTTCTCCTTGCCGGGCACTATCCCCACGGCCAGGGCCTGGTTCTGGCAGAACGGTGACGGGTGTTGCGAACCGTCGCTGTCATCCAGGCAGTTGGTGGACACGAGCACCACCGTGTCCGGCTTCCTGTCCGGTGACCTCAAGCAGGTCGGCACGCTCCCCATGAGGAGGTTCAGCGACAGGTCGACGAACCGGAGGTTGTCGCCGCACGGCGCCTTGTCGGACAGAGTCCCGGTGAACCTGTTGCCGGCGATGTTCAGGTACCGGATGGACGGCAGGGAGAGCAGCGCCGGCGCGAACGGCCCGACGAAGCGGTTCCACGACACGTCCAGATGCTCCAGCAGGTAGAACGAGCCCAGCTCCGGCGGGAGGCCGCCGCCGAACCTGTTCCTGCTCAGCACCACGGTGACCACCTTCCTCCCGAGCCTGGGGAACGCCGGCCCGAGCGAGTTGCCGCCGACGTCGAGCACCTGGAGGTTGCTCTGCCGGCTCATGTCCGGCAGGTTCCCGGATAGGTTGTTGGACGCGAGCACGAGCGACCGCAGAGATGGCGCGCTCCCGAGGGACTCCGGCACGGCGCCCTGGAACGTGTTGTTCCGCAGGCTCAGCACGGCCAGCGACGGCAGCGCGCCGATCCAGGCGGGCACCTCGCCGCCCAGCATGTTGTCGTCGAGGACCAGCGTCTGGAGGCCGACGAGGCGCGACATGCCCCTCGGGACCTCGCCGAAGAGGTAGTTGCCGCTCATGTTGACGATCTCTAGCGAGGCGAGCCGGCCGAGCTTGCCCGGCAGGGGGCCCCAGAGGCCGAGCCCGGACAGCGTGAGCACCTTGAGGTCGGGGAGCCTGGACAGCGTCGTGACGACGGCCCCGATGGAGAAGTTCCGGGGCAGAGGCGGCGCGCCCGCGGCGCCTGCGATGTGGAGCTGCGTCACGGTGTTCCCGTAGCACAGGACGGCGGCCGTGCCCGTAGGCCCCATGGCGCCGCCGCAGAAGTCGGTGCTGCGGCGCCAGTGGCTGACCATTGGAGGGCTGTTCAGGAGCTGCTGGATCTTGATCAGAGTCCATACCTGCGAAGGCTGGAGCTGCGTGGTCTCCTGGATCAATGCAAGAAACACCGGGAAGAAGATGAGCCGGAGATGGTTCGGCCTCGCCATTGGATAGGATTTCTCGACCAAGAAACACTGCGTGGTTACTGCTTCGCTATGCTCTTTATCGAGAAACACGAACGACAGGAGCACAACAAGCTTATCAGCGAAGCTGGGGCTGTCTTTGCCTGATCTTGTACCGGTTTCTCCTGTATCCGAGAACAGTGACAGCATCAGTAGAATGAACAGCCAAACGTGGGTAAATACGAGGAGAAGAAAACATCATCAGGAAGCAAAACTAACGATAACGAGCTCATCTCCCACTTGGTCAGCAGCAGTAGAAATGAGAGGAGCTAAAGTTCAGAGGTTAAAAGGTAAGGAGGCAAAGAAAAAGAGAAGCCGAGCAAAGCTGCTGCCTGATTGGAAGTTGAGATAGCTATCGGACGCCAGAAAACAGAAGTGGACTCATCAAATCTCCAAGGACCTGAGCACAACTGACTCGCGAGTAAAACAAGCAGTTCCTCCAAATGTGTAGAGGAGAAAGCAATGAGAACCCCTGCTGCTACCCAGTTGCAAAGAATCTCACGGAATGCTCGCTACCACTTGGCGCCAAGATCGTCAGTAGTACTTTCACAAGAAAACCGTGAAACGAAGTGAATGTCACCTTGCAGTGCAGTCGCCGAAGCAGTTGGCGATGAAGGAGCCAGCAAGGAAACCCAACCTTCTTCGGAGCTCAGATCAATGGTGAAGACATCAGAACAACAACGGATAGACGACCGTTGGAAGAACGGGCTTCGTGCTCCTCCTTGCTGTCTATGCTCGCTTGCCTTGCCGGTGCTATATGCGCTGCTGTAGCGCTCGCTCGGTCAGTCACTGACAGAGCTCACTCGGCGAGTGTCGCCTAGCAGTGCTGCGGCGCAGAGCATCACGGGGGTGGCAGAGGAAGAGGCGCCTGGAGCAACGGACAAGTGGTGTCTCCAAAGCCTGAGCTGGACACGGGGAGAGCCGGAGAGAGGGGAGAAGGCAACGGACAAGCGGCCTGTATGTTTGGGTTTGTTTAACTCATAAGTCAGGTTAAAGGTACCGTCGGCTGATTTAGTGTGAAGAAAAAATATTATTTATTAGCTTAAAAAAATACGACTTATAAGATAAAAGTCCGGAAGAGATGAGTTCGCTCCAGCCTGTAGTGCTACTACTGCTCAGTGCTTTCCCTCTCACGGACACAAATACCATCACTGTCCTGTTCGCGGGGAGGAATTTAGATAAATCTGGAATAATTTGTGAGAGAGTGGACAGTGTTTTTCGTCCAAATAAAATCCGGCTGGTTTCCAACCATCCGAACGAGCCCAAAGCAGCAGATTGTGTGATGCTTCTCTGCTTTCTTGGGATTAGATTCTCTTCTTTCTTAAACCGTGCTGCTTTAGCGAGGTTTCAAGTAGTATTATTGTAGCAAACTTTTACTTTGACAATGACACTGATGTCGCCCTTTGCCATGCATGCTCTCAGGAACCGGGATTGCAATGATCTACGTACTGCGTCTCACAACGTGTCCTTTTTTACCTACTGATGAATGATGATAAGCCAGCTAGTCCTGAACTCCTTCCTGACTAAGAACTGCGACAGTACTACTAGACGTTTGGACCGACACGACGCCATTATTGCACGGTAAGGTAAGGCAAGGCACCATACTTTCCTCAGCTGTATGATGAGCATGGCTTGTATTTTTCTCGTGCTTTTCTTCTCTTTTCTTCGTACGCTCCGATTGATCCGCTTCCTTGGTCGGGTGCTCTTTGGTCTTTACACTACAACAGGAGCTGCCGAGCTGGGGGCTGGGGCTGTCCGGTCCTCGACGCTTTGCCGAAAGCGCCGAGACCAAAAGCGTGCCTGCCCGTATTCACGCCTTGGGATGGGAGGATGCAGGATGCAAGGGAGTGGAATGCACTGCACTGCACTGAAACGTTTGAGCCGAAGAACTGCAGGGCGCCCCGATGTTCGGGAGGTGTTTGTGGAGGTGAATGCGAAATGAATGCTCGTCATGACAGATAAATGACAGCATTCAGCTAAGTTGGGCCTGTTAGTTAGGACGGTGTCCTCCTGCTTGGGCAACATAGCAACAGAAACTCTCCTCTCCAGAGTTCAGACAGGATGCTGCAGATCAGGAGCAAGTGTTGTTGGAACTGAAGAGCTGGTGACGTGCCCCGCAGTCATCACGGAACTGTGGCCCTTGTGGACTTGTGGTGGAGCAACGTGCATGTGCACATGTTAATATACACGGGACAAAAATCCAAGCGAAAATTGCAGGTAGCATTTACCAGCACTTTTTGTAGCGGAAAAGATTAGCGTTATCTTTTGCTACGTTCGTTCGTTCATTAAAAATGCTTAGCTATTTAGTATTACCACTAATGTCCTATACATTTTTATCAGTAGTACTCAAAGAGTAAAGGAAAGAAAAGGAAATGCCAGCCAGATTGACTATCTTTTGCAGAGGAACCTGAAACAACCTTTTTTGCGTGCCATGCATGTCTGCCTTTTCCAATTTTTTTGAGCACCAAAACCCCCAAACCCAAAGGCAACGGCGTATGGCCTACAGCTACAAGAAAAAGTAAGAGAGAGCATCACGCACGGTGTACTACTACCGGCTGTCGCTCTTTAATCTCCCAAGCATTACTATCCTGATAAATTCTCATCGACCAGACAAACCTACCATGCTTGCTTAATTGCTACTAGCTGCCAACGTTTCTCTCTGTTAAACCTGTTATCACTGCTTATACACATAGTAAAAGACAAAGAAAAACTACGGCAAACAGACTCACAGACAAGAGCAAACCAATGGCCTACAGCCCTACAGTGCACCACACCAGTACAGCACCAAAGTTTGCGATGCAAGCAAAAGCGGCCGGATCGGAGCCTGTTGTTCCATGTGTGAGTGAGTGCACAGTGAAGACTGGTGACGGGGGAGTGAGTGCTGGTTTGTCGAGACGTACAATTACGTGAGTGCCCTGCCCGCGCGAGTCCATCGCCATCGCCATCGCCATCGGCCTCGGCCCGTCCGTCAGTCGTCAGTCGGCACACCTAGTACACGGTACACCGTACGCGCGCCATTACTGTCGCTCGCCGCGCGGTTGGTGGCGATCCGCCCCGCGCCATTACTACTCCGCCGGTGATCCATGCATGCGATGGAGCCCCGCCGCCCCGGCCGGACCCGGAGGCCATAGCAATAGCATGCATGCCAGCCGGCGGTGAGCTTTCGTAGCATCCAATCCAAGGGGCCGCCGGGCCGTGAACGGACGACGCCATGCATGGAGCGCGGAGTAAATTCGGCCGCAACCGCCCTCGTACGCCCGCCCGCCCCGACACGGCCATCAAGCCTCCAGGCCCGCCCCGTCGCTCGCTCGATGATGGCCGCGTGTTCCGCTCCAGATCGCCGGCGTACGGTGGTCACATGGCCTGGGCGACTCATTGCCTGATGGTTTTTAACTCTCGCATCTGTCGTACAAAATGTCGTTGGTGTAAAAGTGGGTTTAACGTGATGCCTTCTCAGGCTTACGTTTGCGTGTTAATATAGCTAGAAGCAACCCCTAGTGTGGCACTTATAATTGTACAACAAGATGACTATGATCTAATTACAACCACAAGATTACAATCCAAGAATAGCCAAGTGGACAGGAGTAGTAGTCGTGAGCACATCTTATAACCGCGGTTGCCAAGCCCAGCCATTGCATGAGATCTCTAGTTGAGTCTTAGGCATTGCATGCCACTGTATGGGATCGGTGTTGACTCTAAAGCCGCACATATTCTAACACCCCCCGTCAATCACAACACACATGTTAAGTTGAGATTGTTCCTAAACATCATTGTTTGCTTCACAGGGAGTGCCTTAGTAAGTCCGTCAGCAATCTGATCTGAAGTACTAATGAACCTAATATCCAAACGCTTTGCAGCAACCTGTTCTCTCACAAAATGATAATCAATCTCAATGTGTTTTGTGCGAGCATGAAACACAGGATTAGCTGAGAGATACTTTGCACTAATGTTCTCACACCACAAACACGCTGCCGAGGATGTAAGATACTTAACTCATCAAGTAGTTTTTGAATCCACATTACCTCGACAGTGGCATTGGCCAAAGCTTTATACTCAGCTTCTGTACTCGATCTAGAAATAGTTGCTTGTTTCCTTGCACACCATGACACATGGTTGCAGCCAAGGAAGACAGCAAACCCTCCTGTGGATCGCCTATCATTAGGACAACCTGCCCACTCTGCATCTAAAAAGGCACTCACAAGAATAGAATCAGATTTTCTAATCATGAGACCAAGGCCAATTGTTCCCTGTATATATCTCAGAATTCTCTTCACAACTTCCCAATGAACAGTTGTTGGTGAGTGGAGGAACTGACAGACTTTGTTAACTGAGAAGGATAAATCTGGCCGTGTCAATGTCAGGTATTGGAGTGCCCCCACAATACTTTTGTATCTGGTGGAATCTTCTGTCCCAGGTCGAGTTCCACTGGTGATTGACAACTTCTCAGTACTACAAAGTGGTGTATTGACTGGTTTACATAGCTGCATATTAACTCTTTCTAGAATCTAAGAGGCATACCGTTCCTGTGTCAACAACAACTCACCTTTCTTCCTTTGAACTTTTGAATGCCTAGAAAGTAGTGCAGTTCTCCAAGAACCTTGATGGTGAACTCCTCTAGATCCTGGAGTAGAGCATCAACCACTTCCTGTGAGCTGCTGGCCACAATAATATCATCAAAATAAACAAGCATAAAGATAACTTGATTTCCTTTGCGATAAAAGAAGAGAGAAGTATCTCCCTTGGATGGAACAAAGCCGAGACTGTGTAGCTTGTGACACAAACGAGAGTACCAAGCCCGTGGAGCCTGCTTTAAAGCCATAGAGAGCCTTGTCAAGTTTGCACAGATGAAACGGCTTGTCTTTGTCCTCATACCCTGGGGACTGCCTCATATATACCTCCTCTTCAAGGAAACCATGCAAGAAGGCATTTTGCACATCAAGCTGCCTCAAGCACCATTTTCTTGACATAGCAAGAGAGAGCACAAG